CTGAAGCTTCGATCTTACATCCCTAGCCTCAAAACTTAATCCACAACCTCAAACCTGAAGCCTCTGTTCATATAACCTCAAACCCGAAGCCTCTGTTCATATAACCTGCATGCCCTAATAGCCCGGCAAGTCACGACGGGCTCCTCGTGTGGCTGAAAAACTCAAGAGCGGCATTGTGGGCATCTCGAATACATCCTGAAAGCAGGATGCGGCGAAGTACCAGAACGATCCCCGACTGGAGGAAGGCGCAGCAACTTGGCCAGCTATATGAAGGTTGGAGAGCGTAAGGGTCTAGGGGTCTTTTAGGGGGTTTAGGGTGGGTAGTGTGCTCTTCATTATGCGTGTTAGATGTTTTTAGTAAGGGAGGAAGCAACGACATATGGGGGGAGCGATGAGACCTTAATCGAGACGGTGCGGACAGTTGATCAAATCACCTCCCTTTCAGAATTCGGGTTTAAGGTTTGGACGTCATGGGATGGTGGGCTTCGGGGTTCTGGGCTTGAGGTTTGTACAGTGGGGCTTGGGATAATAGAAGGACCTTAGCAGTTTCAATAGGGTTTTGTGTGGCCATTATATTATAAAATACTATAGTTATAATGAGGAACCTCCGATTTCGCGTCCACTTCAGCCTCTGTGCTTCTCGTAGCGAAAAGTGGTACCCAGAGAGCCCAAGACCTCTTAATCAAGGAGTAGAGCTTAAATCACGTTACGAAGCCCCTAATGATCTAAGGTATATTCCTTAATTAAGGGGTATTGAGCTCTCTGGGTAGTAATCATTATTATTGGAATCGGCACACCGGCACCGAAGTGGCCTCCTTGACGTGTCAGAAACCTAAACCTGCATAGCGCTTTGAACAATTTGGTAGCAGTGTTCCTTAAGTTTTCCTATATTGTACACATGGCAGAATATGCCCTAAAATCCCATTCAAATTATGAATGCCTCTGTGTATTAACCTTGGCAACTGAGACCTTAATCATGATACAACCTTGTAGAAGCACTTATAGTCCTGCCAGAGTACCGGTATACTGACCTCAGAGTCACCCCTGTTGTAAACCGCGCCCAGGTCGTCTTCCTCAGAGGATACAGATTCGTTCAGCTCAAGACTGAACATGAGCGACCCTGCTGCAGGAAGTTTCGAATTTCGATTCCAGGAGGCCGATTGGTCGTATACTACGCACCTCAGGATTATCGGGGGCCTTGATTGACATTGAATAATTTCAACAGTTTTTTGATGGGAAGGGGTGGGGTATGTAATTAAGTGTACTTAGGCAAGGACCCCCCAGGACTGGCAATGCCCGCTCATACCTCATAAGTCTTAAGCCCTGTTCGTGTCGGATCTCAGAGTGTGCAGTTTAGGGTGCAGGCTTCAGGGTTCACTGTTGTGGGTTTAAGGGTTCGGGGTTTCCCCCCTGGTGTTTCAGTGCATAAGCCTTCCTGTTGCAAGTAAGGCTATCAACATATATCAACATGGTTTAGGGATGTTCAGGGTTTAGTAAGGGTGTTCTAGGTTCTTTTCTTTTGTTGAGGGTTTAGAGGCTTATCGCCTATCTTTCCCAGCGAGCCCAATATCCCTCAATTCCAGGAATATAGCTTAAATCAGAATATGAGGCCCCAAATGATTTATGGTATATATTCCCTAATTGAGGGGTATTGGAGCCCTCTAAACCCTAAACCCTACAGATCCCTTGAAGGAACCCTAGGGCCTATAGGTATTCCTTCATTAAGGGGTATTGGGCTCTCTGGGCCCCTTTAGAACCGCAATCATCCCGGCCCGCACGCCGACTAGAAAGATTCCTCCAGGGTCCGCCGGCGGGAGCCTGATGATCCTACAAAAAGGGTTCCTTTAAAGGGATCCCAGAAAGGGATGCGAAAAGGGAGCCTGTAAAGGGGTCTACAACAGATCAACTCCCATTGTTAAAGGCCTTAATAATTAGAGTAGGGTTCCTTTCAAAGGGGTCTATAAGGGTGACTATAAGGGATCTAGACTATAGGGGCCTTAATAATTAGAATGGGGTTTGGGGTCCCATTCTACTATCAGTATAGTAAGGTACCAGCAAAGTACATGGCCTTGAATTTCGGATCCCGATCTTCAGTAGTACTTCAGTAGCAGGGCCCTTGAAATTAGGATCCCTATCATCAAACGCGTAAAAAGCCCTCTTAGCCCTCTTGCGGGCCAAAACTCAAAGCCCAAAACCCTAAACCTCTATACCCGAAACCCCTAGACCCTAACCCTACAGAAATCCTAAACCCCATAGACCCTAAACCTACATAAACCCTAAACCCCATATATAGACCCTAAACCCTACATAAACCCTAAACCCCATAGACCCTAAACCCTACCTAAACCCTGAAACCCCATAGACCCTAAACCCTACCTAAACCCTAAACCCCATAGACCCTAAAGCCTACATAAACCCTAAACCCCATAGACCCCAAACCCCAAACCCCTGAAGCCCAAAGCCATGATGCGCCTGCTAGGCTCGAGCTCGCCCCGTCTGGCCGCCGGCACTGTTTGTGCTACGACTCTGCCGATGACTCTCGGCTTCAGCTCAAGCTTTTGGATGGTTAGGGTTTAGGATTTAGGATTTAGGGTTTAGGGTTTAGGATTTAGGGTTTAGGGTTTCGGATTTAGGGCTTAGGATTTAGGGTTTAGGGGTGAGGCTTAAGTCAAAATTCCGGGTTTAGAGTTCAAACATCCAAGGTTTTAGGGCTCTAGGGTTTTTGAGTTTAGGGTGCTAGGGCCACTGGGTTTCAGCACATTTTAGCCTTCAGGGTTCTAAAGTTCTAAAGGTTTAGGGTTCTAGGGTCTAGGGCTCCGCGCGTTGAAATTATAAGCCTGTGTGTCGGGGTTTCAGGGTTTTAGGGTTCTGGAGCTTCAGGGTTTGAGGGCCCGGGATGGAATGGTTCTAGGTTTTCGGGGTTTCAGGGCTTTTGGTGCCTAAGCGTAATGGGGTGCAAATGTCGTTCGATTATGGGTTTGGGTTCTACAACTGCCCCCCCCCAGTCATGGCAACTGCAGTTCAAAACATCTTCTCCTAAACCCTAAACCCTTAACCAACCTAACATCCGAAACTCAGAACCTGAAATCCCTGAATCCGGAAAGCACTGTAAATCCAGGCACATGCAGCAACATGCTATGACAACTTATGAAAACCGTAAAACAGCCACTGAAGTGTCAATAAAGCCCCGATGCCCGAAACCGATAAAGCCGTTAAGAGAAGGAGAGCGAGAAAGACCTCGGCTGAGGCTGTTCAGATCGAGTTGCTGCAGGGTATCCCAGAGGCATCCGTGGCAGAGGCGTCGGCCATGCCCGTGCAGCTCGGCATGGGAATCTGAGAATAGTATCTAGTAATAGCAATACTAGTATTAACAGTATTACGAAATGCCATAGGAATGACGGTAATTGTAATAGCAATAGTATCATAATACTCTAGACTCTAGACTGTGGGCTTGTTTGGATTTTTAAACTTGTCGGAGACTCTGCTGGCTTCTTCTGCTGGGGGGAGTGTGTGTGTGTGTGTGTGTGTGTGTGTGTTTGTGTGTGTGTGTGTGTGCGTGTGCGTGTGGGGGTTACAGACTTAGGTAAGCCTTCCAAGGATTGGGGTTCAGGGTTTGGAGTTTGAGTTTAGGGTTTCGGGCCAGTTTAGGGTGTTTAACGGTTTGGGGCGACGTAGGGATTGGAAGCCCTGATCGTCTTTACAAAGATGAGATTTTCGACTTCAAGTCCAGTCCGGGTCTCACAAGAAGGATCCTGTCAAACTGGCCGTCAGACTCAGGACCGGATGATTCACAGAAAGCTCATGCATGGCAAGCCCCGGGAACCAATCTTGGCTTGGGGGCTTTTCCTGGCTCTCTCTCTCTGGCCACAATGCTGGGGCTTGCATAACTTGAATAGTGTTTTGGGTTGTTCTTTACACTGCAATCTAAATACGTAAGACAAGGAGGAGAAGCTGATCTTTGCTGCTAATAGTTCTGAAGCCTAGATATTCTGTACACTTACCAGGCTAAGGGAATGAGATTGTAAAAGCCCCCAGCAAACGAGTCATCATCACCAAGACCAGCTTGCAAAACGCTAGGAGGTCTGAAAGATTCGTGATTTAGTAGTGTCAGTCATTACAGTTGTCTCGAAGATCTCCAGTGTGCCCTAGAGGTAGTCCCTACAAACTAAGAGAAGTGGGATGTACCCCAAAGCCCTGTTCCAAAGATGCCCCTATGCCCCATGCAAAGGGTTTCTATAAGGAAATCATAGTAAGGAACCCTAAAAAGGTAGGTTATTCAGGGTTAAGGAATGCTCTGCAAGGAATGCCCGGCTCTCGCTCCGATGCTACGTGCAAAGCGTAGAGGACGGAGGTGATGTGCTGTCTACGATTCAGGTTTTTCGTTTTGAGCTTTACCCTAAAACCTCCAGACCCTGGTACCCTAAACCCTAGACCCACCCCGCAAAGCAAACTGCTGCAGAGAACCAAAAGAAGTTACGTCGACACCTTAAGATAATATTTTCAGCCTGGCATTACCCTGGGAAATGATAACGCTACAAGACTGAATAAAAGTGCGCCGTAACACCATCACTACCATCACTACCGTCGCTGTCATCGTCATCATCACCATCATCGTCACCATCATCACCATCATCGTCATCATCATCACCATCATCATCAGCATTTTATCATCACCGTCATCATCATCGCCGTCGTCATCGTTCTCATTTTCATCATCGTCGTCAGTATCGCCGTCACTGTCGTCAGCATCGTCGTCGTCATGATCACAGCAGTGATGTCTCTCAATCAAGCCCCAGTTGGACGATAGCCAAGGATTCATCACTGCAAGGACCAACGCATGAACCCCAACACCCAAAGTCGAATCCTTGTTGTTCCTATACTCAAGTGGCCTGGCAGAACATCACTTACTAGACCTCCTCGCAACTATCGTGTTCACAGCTTGCACCGATGCAGCCATTTGCGCAACCCCCGTCAGCTGGTGCTGCTAGCGAACGATAGCCATGCTGGCATGTCCTGTCGGCACATGTCGCACTCTGAGACTATTTGCAGAGCCGAGCAGAGCTTTTGTTGCGGGTTTCAAGCAGTTGCCCTGCTTGATTGGCAGCCGGAACTGTGTGATCCGACGGCAGGTGCACCATGTGGTGTTTCCAGAAGAGGAATTTCAACACCTTCTGCAGGATGTCGGGAGGTCGACTGATCTGTACGCTGGACATCCGCTCTCTGGGATGAGCCCACACAAGCGAGGCATGTTTCTGAAAGGCCTGTGCAAGAGTGTGCTGACCAGCGCCCACCCCCATCTGCGCTTGGAGGAACCCATCCTTGGCAGGCACCTCCATAAATGGCCAAAGAAGGTCAGAACAACAAGCACTCTGGGATTGGTCGTTGGGCGGCAGGAAGGTGCAATGCAAAGCCGCCAGATTGTCATGGTTAGCAACAGAAAAAACTTGGAGTGTGACTTTCGGCGGGGTGAAGTTTGCAGAGGCTGGTGCCCGAACGAGTGCACCCTTTGATGACCTGTACCTTGTGCTAGACGCGCCCGATGTTGTTCACATTCTGAAGCACGACCTTCATACGGGAGTTTCCAGGAGTGGCAAACTAACAGCTACGCGTGGGCACCGGATTGTGGTCAGGGGAAAGACGGGTACCTTTGACTGGCGACCTGCATTCGAAGCCATTCTCCAGAAGCTGTGTGTGGAAAAGGGACAATGTGAGACGGTTGAACACATCTTCCTGACGGACCGACGCTTGCAGGCTGGGCCATGCCAGGCAGAGGAGGAGGAGGATCTGTACTCACGGGTCGCCCTCAGTTACGCGACGCCTTCCTTTCGCGCCATGCGGATAGAAACAATGGGCTTCGAAATTGATCAGAAGCTCCATCCGGCGAGCACGGTCATCAGGCAAGCGCACCCAAGCCCTGTCGACTGGATACGGGACTGTGTCCGAGTGGAGCTGAAGCATGGCAAACTGGTGAGGACGAAATCTGGAACGTGGCGCTGTGCTTTCAGCAACATAAAATGCGCCATGACAGGACTTAGAGAAACACACGCGTTCGACGAGCTCTGGCTTGCTCTCTACAGCCCCATTGGGATTGACTTCTTCCAAAGCTCCGGTCATCTTCGCTACTCATCGGTCGGAGTGCGAGGAGCGCCGCTGGGAAATGACTTAGTTTTATCTATCCCTAACCGTGGCATTGAAATCTGTCAGGCATTGTGCATATTTCGGCGGCAGCTCGAACAGGCCGGATGCCACTGCTTAGCGTCTGTTGCCTGGAAGAACATCCGTAGAGCTCCGTGTGATCCCTCCCTTGAGGGTGTCCAACCCTTCCTGCAGCTGTCACCCTGAACGGCCCTAAGGAAGCTTAACGTAGACCCGTGATGAAAGCCTCCGTAACTTAAATAAAACGGATTCTAGAGGCCATGAGTTGTTATGGCCTCGAGCCGGACCGGAGCCACAAGCACACTGGAATTCCAGGCCTTGCTGACCCTGACCCCAAATAACCTGGCCACCAGGCCAAGCAGAACAAGGCCTCAAGCCCTGAACTCTACAGCCCGAGACCCTTGGTCCGCGAGCCTTGAAGCTTGAAGCTCCTATCCCAACAGTCCTGATTTAGGCTTTTATGGCTTAGGGCTTAGTGTTTAGGATTCCGGGTTCAGGGTTTAGGGTTTAGGCTTTTAGGCTTGTCGGAATTAGGGTTCAGGGTTTAGGGCTTCTGGCTGTGGGTTCAGGACCGGGTCGATGATCCGAGCAGCCAGTACAAGTACCGCCGGAGGGTTTGGGTCAGCGACGGACCCAACAGAGTCTCAGCTCAGGCTATGGCTTTCAGGGATTTCAGTTCGGGTTTCATTGGCCCAGAGATCCCAATCCCCCTTAATTAAGGAATATAATATCTACTTAATAGGGGGCGTAGTATTATGATTTAAGATTTATTCATCAATTAAGGGGTATTGGGATCTCAAGGGGTTTTAGGATTGGCATTTTGGGTAACCCACCATCCCTAAGAAGCAAGCAGCCTAAGCTTTTAAAGCCTAACTAAATCCTGCAGCGCCAGCTGCACGGGCACCCGACATGCCCCATGACTTTCAGACACCCCGGTCGAAGGGACATCTGGATATCATTTTGAGGCTAAGTCCGAGTTTAGAGACCCTCCGGCACGGGCGCTGTGAGTCCTCTTAGCTGTTGAGCCAGTGGAAGACAGCTTGAGTAGGTTGTTTCTTTTTTTTTGCTGGCACTTGGGCAGAGTAACTCAACACCTTATAACCCAATGCTCGAAGCCCCGCCTCCACAAATTGAATCATCGGGTCCTCTGCCGCTCAAACCAGACCCTAAAGTCAAAACTCTGCCGCTTTCAACCGTGCACAGTCAATGTCGGAGCCCCCCACCGTACACCCCCCACGCATGAATTCAATATGCTACTGGTACTTTCGTCAGTCGTACCCATGAACTACAAAGCCATGTAAGCTTGGCCGACAACCTAAGAATATCTTAGAGTTGACACGGGTCTCGTAAAGTACTTACAGTACACTCGACGGCAAAACTCCGTACTTTCGCTCAGGCAAGGAGACTCTTTCTTGGACGCTGTGGCTTGGCAGAGACCTACGGCTGCTACTACTTACTACTACTACTACTACTACTACTACTACTACTACTACTACTACTACTACTACTACTACTACTACTACTACTACTACTACTACTACTACTACTACTACTACTACTACTACTAGTACTACTACCACCAAAAAAAAGGACGCTGTCACAACACCAACAACAACAGCAATTGCTGCTGCGACTGCTGCTACTGCTACTGCTACTGCTACTACTACTACTACTACTACTACTACTACTACTACTACTACGCGACCACCAGCACTCCTGTGGCTGCTACTGCGGCAGCCAGTACTGCAGCTGCAATCATCACTTGCAGTGGAGCGACCCTCACCGTAGGATTCGTGTTTTGCAAGCTCCCGGCTAAAATCTGCTCCTGAGTGAGGGTAACCTCGAATCTCCGTGTACATATTCCTCAATACGAAATGGACCACTAAACTTAAACCCCAAACCCCTGAGATTTTCTGAGCTTTCTAGCTTCTTCTGCTCCTAGGTGGGGATCCGTGGCGCAGCAGTACAGCGCGAAGGTCCTCAAGGACATGTACGTGCTGGCCAAGCTTCCCGGCTGAGAAACTAATACCTCTGAAGATTCCCACATGGAGACTGTACTGTAGCAAAACAGGGCTTGAATATAACGTTTCATTACAATAACCTACTGTTCAAGTATGAAGGGTACTTACGGGCCCATGGCTCCGCGCGACGTGTTGGGAGGAAATGTTTAGGCCTTGGTCCAAGATTTTATGGTTCGACAACTTGAGGGCTTCTATGGAGTGTGACCCTAAAACCTACATGTTAATCGATGAGCCATCCTAAACTCCTAACAGCCTCCTGCCGAGGAACGTCAAAGTGTCAGCCTTCCGTGGACAGAAGCAGCTTTCCGGCTGCTCGACGCTACACCTGTCCTCTGAAAAAGCACGTGCCTCCTAGCCCTCACCGGACTTTGGCGCTCAGGTTTACGGTCGGCAGACGTCATTTTGAGACCTGCAGATTAATCAGCAGATTATTCAGCACCTATGTTGGAATGTTTCCTTTCGGAAACTCACTCATCCCCTCCCTCCCAAGTTCTCACGAGGCTGGTAGTACAGCATCGAAATGGTCCCAGACGCGTGTCTCGATGTTGCTTAAGGTTTGGCATGCCCTATGCCGTAGAGCCCATACCTCAATACTATATAGACCCAGCACTGTTCAGGGTCGCTGCTCCAACACCTCCTAAACCCTAAACCCTGAACCGTTTCAGAGGCTAGGAGGCTCAGACACCCCGCCCCAATGCCTCGTGCAAGCGCCATGCTGACAGGAGGCCATGAGCTGCCCCTGTCTGTATGTTTTGCTAGCAGAGCTGAGCAGTATTTCAACGAGCCTTCAAACCACGGACTTCACTTTTGCACGTGGTTAGATGAAGTTAATTCCACAGCTCCTCGCTGGCGAATTCGAGTCATGATCCGTTATGAGCGCGAAATCTATCGCGCCGTGCTGGCCGAGTATTCGGCGGCAAGCGCTACCAACGGATTATTAACAACTGAACTCCCACCCCAAACTCCAAACGCTATGCCCGGCTCCTTTTTAGTCCTGAAAGGGTAGGTTATCCAGTGCTCATGTATATAAAGCCTAAACCCAAACCGCCTGGCCCCCCGAACCTTTGGGTTCCTTGAAAGGGGTTTGCTTCAGGGTTTCAGCTTTAAGGTTACTGTAAGGTTAAGGGTTAAGAAGTTTTCTGTGATATCTTCCAAGCCATGTTAAGTGGAGGCACCCTTGTAAAGCCTTTTCGACGAATTTCGGAAGCAATCTTCCGGTTAACATAGGGGTCAATCGGGGTGGGAATAATCCTTAGGAACATCCCGTTATCATAACTGTTTCAATTACACTTCAATATCCCCCCCCCCCATTCCAGAAGCCCCGGCCTAACTATGAAGGCCCCTAAAACCTTTTAAATCCCAATAGAAACCCTCCAAACCCTGTTCCACTTATGGGTGGTTGTCAAAATTATGGTCCCTTTTTGGTTCCCCCCCCCCCATATACTACGGCACCTACTTATTAGGGTACCCAGAAAAGGGGCCCTAATTTTGACATTGTGAAAAGCCCATCTATGACCTTGTGCTTGTCCGCCGAATCCTCCTTCGGGCCTTTGCACTAATTCGAATCCGCAGGCTGATGTCAGGGAATTGAAGCTTACCGTGGGTTGTAGGGCTTCGGTGAGGGGCTTTGGGGGTTGAAGAAATAAGGTTCTGTAAGCCTCCTATATTGATTTGTAGGGTTTGTTTTTGGAGAAGCCTGCGTAAGTATTTGTACTACCATTCCTGAGTATGCTATACACCAAGAGTTCATTGCAATTATTCAGGCCCCGTATCAGGGGTTCCGGGGTTCGGGGTGAGGGGTTGAGTGGGGTCACGGTGCAGGACGTTAAATTAAGGTTTAATCTTCAGGTTTTAGACCTTGTTCTAACCAAGTGTTTGATATTTTTGTGAGTTCGTCGTACTACGAGAAACACGAAACCTCTAAGCTTTCAAACCCTAAAGCTTATTACCCTAAATCGGCTTCAACTAGGGTTAGGGTTCATGCTTAAGCATTCAGGGTTCCGGTGTAGTCTATGTTTAGAGTTTTTAGTTTAGGGTAGGGTTCAGTTCAATTCTCCACGAAGGCCTGCTCAGTGTACCATCACGAAGGGGACGACCAGGAAATGAGTGGACCAGGGCTCGCCGCCTTGAGCTTTGGTTTACTAGCGTTTCAGCTTCCAGCCTATACAAGCGAAAACGAGCCTGAAACCGATACCCCAGACCCCAAACTAGCCCGAAAGCCTTCGAAGTAAGACTGGCTTCAAAGACATGTGGCATTAGGTTACAACTCCTTCTTGCTTTGCATGTTTGCAGCCTTAGCCTTTGAGTGTGACAACAGTCTGGTAGTCAAGGCT